AAAAAAAAAAAGAAAAGAAAAAGATCACTCAGTTCTATTCACAAGATTTTATAACCTTGTTGTATTATTTGCCTCGCAAGGAAGAATATGAGCATTTCCTTGAAAAGCTGAGGAACATCCACTACGATGCCATGGTTGCAACTTCTATTTAGTTAGCTTCTGATTGATAGGCTTGTATATAGTTATGTCTGCTCATGGAACTGTGTAACAGGGACAATCCAGTTAATAGGTGGTTGGACAATATTTGGTTGAAGTTTAAAAAAAATGTGCCATGTTGAAGTTAAAAAATGAGTATTGGAAGTTGTTTTTTGTCTACGAACAATGGGTGTGGTTGGTCAGATGTGATTTTGTAGGCTTTTTATTTCCATTAAGCTCTGAGTATGCACATCCTTATAGTGTTTCAATTGCTTAAATTCAGGAGGCTCTGAAAAGGAAGCTGAATGCTAGGATTGAATATGCGAAGTTTCTACAAGAAACAGTTAAAGAGATGGCAAAGGAAGTTAAAAACTCACGAAGCGGAGAACTAAAGAATACAGCAGAGGATCTTGATGAATTTATGAATAAGGTAAATATTTATTTGTCACTTCTTTTTTGGGTTTCCTTTCATTTGTATTTTCTTCATTTGCCAAATCTTGAATTATTAAGCCAAAGCTTTTATTTGCTCTTCCCCCCTCCTTTCTCTATCTAACTACTGTAGATGTTTATATGACAATTGATTAGGTCAGAAGGGGTGCTAGTGTATCTAATGAAGAAATTTTAGGATTTGCCAAGCTGTTTAATGATGAGCTCACTTTGGATAATATCAGCAGGTTTCTGCCTAATTACACTTTCTTGGTTTAATTCTGACTATATGGAAATTTCTTGCATATATTGCTGGTGGTTAAAATATTGAAGTGCAATTGATATTCGTCAAATGCAGACCGAGGTTGGTGAATATGTGCAAATATATGGGCATCAACCCCTTTGGAACTGATGCATATTTGCGATTCATGCTTCGAAAGAGGCTTCAAAAGTAAGTCTCGTTATTTTCATTTTGAGTTAACTTGTGTCTAATAGTTTATATATCCTTTTATCTCCAATTATGCTCTTTTTTCCTTCTTCAACAAATATTTAGTGCGCTGATCTCTATTATCCTTTTTAGTTTTGATTTTTGAATAAGTCGAGCCTAAATAGTTCATCTATGTTTTCTTCCTAAAATTGTTTCTTTAGAATAAACTGGTCTTCACTATTATGGTTCTTCATTTTGAGTTGACTTGTGTCTAATAGTTTATATATCCTTTTCTATCCAAAGTATGTTTTGTTTCCTTCTACGAATATTTAATCAGTTGATCTGTATTTTCCTTCCAAATTTTGAATAACTCGAGCCTAAACGGTTCATTTCCCTTTTCCTCCTTCAGTTGTGCCTTTATTCTCTTTAAAATAAACTGGTCTTCATTATTATGGTTAGTGTGTCTAAGAACTGATTTTCATTCCTATGGTCATATCACATAAGGTAGCTTTGATATGTTTAAAAGTTCTGTTAAGAGATTATAGCCCCTATCATTTCTAGCTACAACAACCTCGTGCCAAACTAGATAATCAGGTGGTCCTGTTTGTTTGACTTTTTCTTGGGGAATTGCTGGGTTGTAACAGGGAATCAGTAAAAAAGGCATAAGGAATGAAAGAAGTCTAGAAAATGGAGGCCATAGTGAGAACAGTCAAGCAAATCTAATGAGAGCATGCAAGACCTGTGACGTGCAGGCAATTTGTATCCTCTCACAATAAAAGCCTATCTTTCTGTTGCTTTGTTCGTGGTAGATTTCCTCTAGATCTTGGTGGTTACATCTTCATTTTGGAGATGAGTTAATGCTTTTGTGATGCATGTGCTGTAGAAGCAAATTTTTTCGCTCATTTAACAAAACTTTGCTGCTTTTGGCAGGATCAAGAATGATGACAAGATGATTAAAGCAGAGGGCGTAGAATCCCTTTCGGAGGATGAGCTCCGTCAAGCCTGTCGAGAACGAGGCTTACTTGGATTACTTTCAGTAGAAGAAATGCGGCAGCAGGTATGCTTTGATCTTTTGTTAGTCTTGTTTAAATTGTTGACTCGAGCAAATCAACTACTTTTGTCTCAAAATTTGTTGTCTTTACGCCTTATCTTGTTCTCAATGGTTTACACCTTATTTCTGCATCTTTTGGTTCTATATTTTTTTAAGTCTGGTGTATCCTGCAGAAACTTCTGGATATAGTCATACTAGTTAGATTTTGTTGTCAATCTAGTCATTTGAAACAACTTAATGGGAAACCTGATATGTTCTCTATTGTTTGTGGAGTCCTATTTGGCTTTGGAAATTATCAGTTGAAAAGTATTTATCCAGAGAATTGTGCGTTATTTTGAGTGGTCTATACGACTCTATCCCTAATTTTCTTTTTGATATAGGTAAATACTTTATTGAAATGTTGGGCAAGTAAAACCTCTTACAAGATGTATACAAAAAGTAAAGAAACCTATGTCAAAACCTGGTTCTCAACAAAGATCCTCTTGTCATCAATACTGACTAGAGTACGACATGTGCTCCAGAACTTCACAGAAAAACGAAATGTTTCACCCAATTCTTCTTCTGCTTTTGAGCAAACCTAATAGGCACTAGGCACAATAGCATGTCTTTAGCTGCCCTAGCATCATTCTCTGAATTCCAAACATGTTCCACTCTGAACTCCATATCCTCTATGCAGTTTGACAGTGACACAACGAATGGTTGACTTCCTCCACTGTCTGGTACACACGAAACACCAACTGATACATATTATCTTTCTTTTAGTCTAGTTTTTTGCTGTTTGGGAATTGGAAGTCTAAAGCAACTATATCCTGACATCTATACTCTGAATCAACAACATGGGGTTACTATGAAGGAACTATGGTGTACACAGGGTTGGAATCTGACATTCAGAAGATTCCTACAGGATTGGGAGGTGCCTAGAATGATTGAATTTTATAGAACACTAGAACAATGTAGTGGACTACAGGAGGGTGAAGATACACTCAGATGGCAAAAACACAGTAGTGGGATGTATTCAGTCAGCTCTGCATACAAAGATACCAGGAGGGATCTCAACTCAGTTTATGGCCTTGGAAACACATATGGAAAGTAAAAGTGCCTTATAAAGTGGCCTGTTTTACCTGGTTGGTAATTAGGGAGGCTGTCCTCACTCAGGATAATCTAAGGAAGAGGGGTATACCAATTGTTTCAAGATGTTATNTGGAAAGTAAAAGTGCCTTATAAAGAGGCATGTTTTACCTGGTTGGTAATTAGGGAGGCTGTCCTCACTCAGGATAATCTAAGGAAGAGGGGTTTCAAGATGTTATTTGTGTGGGAATGATGCTGAGACAATCAGCCATCTGTTTCTTCATTGTAGAGTGACCAGCCAATTATGGGATTTGTTCATTAATCTCAGAGGTGCTAGATGGGTAATGCCAGGGAGCACCTCTGAACTTTTATTTTTTTGATAAGGTAAATTGTATTAATCAAAAGGGATAGAACTCCCGCGTACAAGAAGTATATAAAAAAGTAGAGAATTTACAACAGAACATGATTCTCTACAAAAGAAGCCCAATCTTCCATACACGTAGGTGCTATATGGGTGCACCAGAATACGATTAAAGATAAAAGACTATTCCTAAGGTGAGAAAAACTAGACTTAATCCCCTCAAAAGCTCTCCTGTTTCTCTCCCCCCAAACTATCCACATGAGAGCTAAGGGGGCGAACTTCCACGCCTTTTGCTTTCTTCTTCGATGGGAACCGGCCCAGCTGTATAGCATTTCCTTAACAGTGCTAGGCATGACCCATTGAACTCCAAAGAAGCACAAGATTGCTCTCCACAGGCCCGCTGCAACAGGGCAATGCAGTAACAGGTGATCAACTTCTTCCCCTGAAATTTTACACATGTAGCACCAACTAACAACTGTAATTCCTCTCTTCCGCAAATTTTCAGCAGTCAAGATCACTCATCTCGCTGCTAGCCATGCAAAGAAACACACCTTCGTGGGCATTTTGGGAATCCAGATTGATGAGCATGGAAAATTGGCCTCATCTCTCACCAGCATGCTCTGGTAATAAGACTTTACGGTGAATAGACCATCTCCACGCAGCCCCCATCTCCAAGAGTCGCTAGAAGTGTGTGTCCTATGTTGGCCATATAGCAGTGCTAACAAATCTTGGAGTTCTGCAATCTCCCAATCTTGCATGTTCCTTCTAAATGAGAGGTCCCATACTATGCCCCCTTCATGCTCCTTGCGAATTTGTTGGACCATCAATTCCTTCTGGTTCGAAACTCTGTAGACGTTAGGGAAAGAGACCTTAACAGTATCCTCTCCACACCACCTATGATTCCAAAAGCTGATTCTCCTTCCATCTCCCACCCTATAAATGATGTTTTCATTAAAGTCTTCTCAATTCTTCATGATGCTTCGCCACATGCCACACCCAAAAGGTGATGTGATTGCTTTAGTCCTCCATCCCCCTCTCGTGGAATCGTACTTTTCTACTATGGCCTCCCTCCATAAAGCATGATCTTCTATCCTGAATCTCCACAGCCACTCCCCTAACAAAACTGTATTGAATACCCTAAGATCTTTTACTCCGAGACCTCCCCACTTCTTTGGGGAAGTGACTGTCTGCCAATTCATCCGATGAAACTTTCTAGTTCCATCTACCACATCCCAAAGAAAAGTCCTTTGAAGCCGCTCCAGTTTTTCTACGACGTTCATAGGAGCTTGCAGCAGGGACAAGTAATACGTGGGCATGGACGATAAGGTGCTTTTAATAAGCACTTCCTTAACGCCTTTTGATAAGTAGCGTTTCTGCCATCCTGCTAATCGTTTTTCCACCCTTTCGATTACCGGGTTCCAAACCGAAGTATCCTTGTACAAAGCTCCCAAAGGGAGGCCCTAATAATTAGTGGGGAGAGAGCCCACCTTACATTTGAGAACGAGAGACAAAGCATTAATGTTAGCAACGTCACCCACTGGAAAAATCTCACACTTGCCAAGGTTGATCTTTAGGCCTGATACTATCTGGAACCACTGCAGTACATGTTTCAGGTAGGTCAGTTGCTCTATATCCGTGTCACAGAAAACCAGTGTGTCATCCGCAAAAAGCAAATGAGAGACTCTTCGTGCACTGGGCACCCCGATCGAAGCTGAGAATCCTCGCAAGAAACCTTCGCTTGCCGCACGATCCATCATTTTACTCAGAGCATCCATCACTAAAATGAATAGCATGGGTGATAGTGGGTCACCTTGCCTGAGACCCCTGGAGCTGCCAAAGAAACCACACGGGCTACCATTAACCATAACAGAAAATCTGACTGAGGAAATGCAGTACTTGATCCATCCCCTCCATCTAGCCCCAAATCCCATTTGCATCATGATGAAATCCAGGAAATTCCAATTTACATGGTCGAAAGCCTTCTCAAGGTCCAACTTGCATAGTAATCCGGGTTCTCTATTTTTTCTTCTGGAGTCTACCAATTCATTTGCCACCAAAGCTGCGTTCAGGATCTGCCTTCCTTCCACAAATGCATTCTGGGAGGACGACAATGTCACGTCAAGAACCCTCTTGAGCCTATTGGATAACACTTTAGAAATAATCTTGTAAATGCTCCCCACTAGGCTAATAGGCCTGTAGTCTGTGATAGAAGTTGCACCCTCTTTCTTAGGCACAATGGTAATAAAAGAAGCATTGATGCTTCTCTCGAAAACACCATTCAAGTGGAAGTATTCAATGGCTTCCATTAATTCCCCTTTAATGGTGTCCCAAAAAACCTGGAAAAAGGCCAAGGAAAAACCATCAGGCCCAGGGGCCTTATCACCAGCACAACTCGACACAGCTTCGTGCACCTCATCCTCTTCGAAAGCCCTCTCTAGCCACTCACTATCTCCCTTCCCCTATATGGTTGAACTCTATTCCCCCTAAAGTAAGCCTCCAGCTAGCTTCCTCCTTGTACAGTTTTTCATAAAACCCCACTATCGCCCTTTGACCTTTTCCTCTCCCTCCATTCTCACCCCATCCACCACTACAGATTGTATGAAATTCCTCCTTCGATTTGCAACCGCAACCCTGTGGAAAAACTTGGTGTTTAAATCTCTCTCCTTTAACCAAAGCGCCCATGATTTTTGTCTCCAACTAGTCTCCTGAGCTATTGCTAACTCAGCTATTTCCCTTTTAATCTCCCCCAATCTTTGTTTCTCGGATTCATCTAACTCTCTCACCCCTTCCCCTCTCTCTAACTCTCTCTGTTCATGCATAAGCTCCCTCATTTTAACCTCTACCCTCCCAAAAACCTCCTTATTCCATCTAATAATATCTCCCTTGAGCAATTTGAGTTTCTTTGAAAGGCGGAATGAAGGTGTCCCTGACACCCCGTAGCTTGTCCACCATTCTTTCACTTTATCTCCAAAACCTGGCACTGTCAACCACATGTTCTCAAATCGAAAAGGAGCGTGTGCCCCTTTTCTTCTGCACCCATCTAGCAAAATAGGCATATGATATGAAGTCAGCCTAGCTCGTCCCATGAGGGCGATATCAGGAATCTATCAAGTCTTGACCTTGAGTTGGAATCCTCCGCCCTGGCCCATGTGAACCTTTCCCCTGACAGAGTAAGGTCAATAAGAAGATGATCATTGATGAAGTCAGAAAACTCCTCCATGGCCCTCGAAATCAAATTGTAGCCTATTCTCTCCTCCGGAAATCTAATAGTGTTAAAATCTCCCCCTAGAACCCATGGAATGTCCCACTCCCCCATAACATTTGCAAGTTCCTCCCAGAAAAGTACCTTGGACCCTTCTCCTACCGGTCCGTACACTCCCCCAAATCCCCACTCCACCCTAGCCTCCCTTCTTGACTTCCTTTACCTCCAAACTTCTATCATCCCACATAAGAAGAATACCCCATGCACTTCCCGCTGATGGGACCCAGTCATATTTTACCCAACTACCTCCCCAAACACTCCTAACAATTGCGTCCGACACGACTTCCATTTTGGTTGCCTGAAGAAAAACTAGAT